ATCTTCTGGAGGTTAGCAAATTTTCATGTAAAAGATGCTTCCGTATTCTGATAGATATAGCCAGGAATTTCTGCTTTGTGATCCATTGGATCATTGAGTTCCAACCCCCCTGCCACAGGCAGGGCCACCAACCTCCAGTTGTGGTACTAGACCAATTTGCCTGGGACCCTATAGAACCTGATCTTGAACACGTGCATGGATGGGGCATGCACGGCCTCTCTGGGCAATACTACATTCACCATACTACATTCAAATGTTTACTGTCAGACTGCAAATGTTTTTCCACAGTTTGTGGGATTTGTCTCCTTCATGATGGCATTTTCAATTAATACTAAAGTACTAAAGATTGTGTATCTTTTTTGGCAAAGCTGCTGAGACAATCTCTAGATGCATGGATGGAGTTTTTAGCTTGCCTGCTGATTTTTTTTAAGATAGATTTTAGCTGGGTTACAGATATGATGCTCTTTGGAAGTTTTTGTTTTCTCAGTGAGTAAAAGAGTTTTCTTTCACAGATGTGAAAGTATGCCTCATACATTGAGGAAAAATTGTTTAGCACTGACCTCAGCAGTTTATTACTAATGTTTTAAACATCCACAGTTCATAATTTTTCTTCCTAATCGTACCTAAGGCTTCTTGTATTGACTGAGAGGACCAAAGTTTTTTAAAACCAATAGAGGAATTTGCAAAGCCAGAATGGTCAGTGCATTCAAGTCACAGTTTGCCACTGTTCCCTGTGGTTTCAACTGTCCCGTAAGGTAAAGAGATGGTTTAGCTGTGAATAAATTTAGAATCATAGCAGAGGAAAGGAGAAAAAAAAAAAAAAAAAAAAAAGTGTTATTTTGGACTTTGTGAAGATAAGAAGCTGCACTTCTGAGACTGCTAGCAAAAATGTTAGTGTGGCTCTGAATATTGAAGAACTCTAGCTTTTCTGCTTATGCTGCTATGGAAAGAAGTCTTCCGTGTAATTCTGCTCACGTTACTGGAAGGAAGTTAGAACTTTCTTCTTGCTGATTGGAAATGAGAGGAGGCATTTCTGTCACTTGTTTGACTTTGCTTGTTTGACATCCTCCAGGATGAAAGATGTTTTTCCTAGAATGAATTGTCTTAATATCTGCTTCTGCTGCTGGATTCCTAACAGCGCTAAAATGAAATGGTCGGTGATGAATACTGCTGGAAAAAAATCCTGAAGGAGCAGTTAAAATGATTTATCTTCCCATGTGACTTTTTCTCTTGAACTGTGACAGACTTCTGTGTCGGTGAAAATACTAAAACTGGCTGCATGATTGGGAAGGTGTAGTATTTAGTTAATATTTGGAATTTGCACAATTTTCAGGCCTGTAATTAAAGTTCTCAGCTCAAGAGAAGTAGTGTGAGGTTTTCTTGTTTCCAGAGACCTTTTTGAAGGTACTATTTTTTTTTTTTTTTTTCTACTTTGAAAAGTGAGAGCCATGTGATACATGGGATTGATGTCTTCCCCCAAGTGTCACATGCCCACTCTGTGATTCCTTTCTGGAACGCTAATGATCTTCTAACTCAGTAGCTAATTCTAGCTTCAATTACTTGATTATTTTTTTCCTGAGCAGTAGAGAGGGTGGCACCTACCTGTGAAACAGAGGTGAGAGATGAATTAGTGCAAATTGGTGTTTTTGCTTGCAGTGGAATAGGGTTAATGTGGCTGCCTGCTGTATGGAGCGTGGCAGCGGTACGGCACACTGTGTGCTATCAACTGCTTTCAGCTACATGGGAAGCTGCTTTTCTATCGAGGACACTGGTTGCTTTCATTCATTCAACAGCTACCAGTAGTTTGGCAAAATGCTACCTAAAGCCAAGAGAAAACGATTTCGTGAGTTTACTTCCCTCCATGCTCCCCTTTTCAGGAGTGATTAACTCATTAGAAATGATCTCAAATCTTTTGTGTGCTTCTTGCATGTCATTAAGCACTTACTAGGTGATACTTCTGCATGCAGCTGTGATGTGTTCCTAGCGTCATTTCAACTTGATGCTTTTGGAGGGGAAAGTGCTTTAACTAAGTGGAATAAAATGTGTAACCTTTTGTTTAGAGTTAAAACTTAATGAAAGCTGTTGAAGTGAATGAGTGTTGGCAGTGATTTATTGAGGTGAGTTTCTAGCAAATGAGTTAAGTGTTTTGATTTGGATTAATTCTCGTGAGAATCCTTGTGAATGCAGGCTCTCAGTTGAAAATAATTTGCATAGCATCTAAGAAATATCTAATTGTTTTAAGTTCCTAATGGGTGCCACAGCAGCATTTTTAGCATTTTGGTGTCTCAAACACTAAGATTAGTCCGAAATAGCTTTTCTCTTTGGAAAAAGTATTTTTCTTTCAGATTGGAGCACAGGTTCTTGGTTATTGAAGTTACTCCACTGAAACACTGCAGACTTTGTTGAGTAGTTTATACTTCTGTGCTGTTTTGCATAAGGATATGTGGTAGAAATAGAAGAAACTTCCTATCTGAAACTTATATTTTAAAAAATAAATCTGTAGATAGTGTTTTGGGAGCGAACTTCAATTATTGATTGTACTGGCTGTCATTGTTCTTTTTTCCTTTATGTGTGTGTTTAAAATATTCCATAGCAACGTTGTCACTTGACTGAGCAGAGTAGCTATGGCTGTCATTTTAAAAAAGAAAAGAATATAAGAAAGTGAGCACTTGAACTTCTTGAGCACTGCTCATCAAACGCAGTTGTAGCTTTGTAAAATAACTCATGCTACTGTATCTTCTATGAAATAGTGTGTAAATGGAAAACTACTCTGTTCTGTTTGTGATTTAAAACCCATAGAATCATAGATTAGTTTGGGTCGGAAGGGACATTTAAGATCATCCAGTTCCAACCCCCCTGCTATAGGCAGGGACGCCTCCCTCTAGACCAGGTTGCTCAAAGCCCCATCCAGCCTGGCCTTGAATGTTTCCAGGGAGGAGGCATCCACAACCTCGCTGGGCAACTTGTGCCAGTATCTCAACACCCTCACTGTAAAGGATTTCTTCCTGATAACTAGTCTAAATCCATGCTCTTCCAGTTTAAAGCCATTTCCCCTTGCCCTGTCACTACCTGCCCTTATAAAAATTCCCTTCCCAGCTTTACTTTAGGCCCCCTTCAGGTACTGGAAGGCCTCTATAAAGTCTCCTCGGAGCCTTTTCTTCTGCAGCATGAAGAGCCCCAGCTCTCAGCACCACCAGAGGAGGTGCTCCAGCCCTCTGATCCCCTTCATGGCTTTCCTCTAGACCTGCTCCAACATCTCAATGTGCTTCTTGCGTTGGAGACCCCAGAAGTGGACACAGTACTCCAGGTGGGGTTTCATGAAAGCAGAGTAGAGGGGCAGAATCACCTCTGTTGACCTGCTGGTCACACTTCTCTTTAGGCAACCCAGGATACAATTGGCTTTCTGGGCTGCAAGCACACACTGCTGGCTCATGTTGAATCTTTCATCAACTGATACTTCCAAATCCTTCTCCTCTGGGCTCATCTCAAGCCATTCTCTACCCAATCTGTGCTTGGGATTGCCCTGACCCAGATGCAGGACCTTTCACTTGGCCTTGTTGAACTTCATGAGGTTGGCATGGGCCCACCTCTCAAGCCTGTCCTGGTCCCTCTGGATGGCATCCCTTCCCTCTAGGGAGTCAACTGCACCACTCAGCTTGGTGTTATCTGCAAACTTGCTGAGGGTGCACTCCATCTCACTGCCCATGTCATCTACAGAGATGTTAAATAACACCAGACCAGCACTGATCCCTGAGGAATGCCACTCATCATTGGTCTACTCTTGGACATTGAGCTGCTGACCACAATTCTAGGAGTGTGACCATGCAGCTAATTACTTATCTAGCAAGTGGTCCATCCATCAAATCCAAATGTTCCCTCAGCCATAGGAGCTGGAAAAATTGATTGAGTGATTGCTAGTATCTGTTAAACCAAACTTCCTAGCAGAAGGTGGGCTGGATTAAAGCTGGTGTGAAAGGAAAAATGTTAGGATGTATGATGTCTTTGTATGCTACTTGGTGGCCTTTTGTCTCACGGGGAGAGGTCAGTGCAGGAATATTTCAGTCTTGTTCTAGTTTTTAGATTTTAATTGAGCACGATTGTGATTTGAAATGTTTATAATGGAAAAATTAGTTAAAAACAGAAGAAGAGAGAACAGAGTTGTGTAGTAGCTCAGTCACAAGAGTAGATTTCAGCCTTGTTTCTTTATCCTCTGACAGCTGCTCATTAACTGTGGTCTCAACCCAGCATTTCTGTACTAAGGAGGTACCTGCTAGTGTACTTGCAGAGCAGCAAAATTTAACAGTGCAAAAATAAGGGCTTTTACTGCGTATCCATATATAAAGTAGAGGGGAAAGGTATAGCAACATGATGTCATCATGCTGTTCTGTTTTTGGAGAAGTCCCTGCTGTTAGGATGATAGTATTTAGTGGAACTACTCTGAGCTGATAAATGAGAAACATATTTTGTCTGAGAACTTCTTAATCTGAGTAAAGACTAAGTCACATTTAGGCAAAAAGAGACTGAAACTAGTTTTCAGTGAAGATACACAGAGGATTTAGAAACTGCGTCCTACAAAAGCTAGTGGTAGTACTTAAAAAAAAAGTACTACTGAATGTAGTAAGTGGACTTAAAATTTTGATTAAATCTCTTTTACTCAGAAGAGCAACAGATCAAGGGTAATGGTGAGTCAGAAGTGGGAAAAGAAGTTGCTCAACGTGGCCATTAACATTATGACTTGAAAACTGATGGGTATTCTTTTCACTCCCTCGTTACATGATAATGACAGGAAAACAAACAAACAAACAAAAAACAACAGGAGTAGAACTTTTTGAGTTCAAATATTAGAATTTAAATAATATTGCTGTTTGTGAGTGGAAATAAAAAAAAACGCTGGAGAAATAAAGTGGCAGTAGAATATGCTTTTATTCTTTTATTATTAATATGGGACAGAATATTTTGGAATAAACTAGATTGTTAATGTGTTATTTTTCTTGATACAGATGTGGTTCTGGACATGGTGAGCATGTGACTTCAAAGATGGACAACTGGATCTGTTACAAATTCTGATTGGCCTTAAGCTGACTTACAAACACTAAAGAGCTTCACGGGATTTCTCTCATTCCTAATTTATGCCTGTCTAATTGCCTCACACCACCAGCTTAATCATGTATGGAAGTGCTCGGTCAGTTGGCAAGGCTGAGCCAAGCAACCAGAGTCCAGGGCGTTCACCAAGGCTGCCACGGTCACCACGCTTGGGCCATCGTCGAACCAACAGCACTGGAGGCAGTTCTGGCAGCAGTACTGGGGGAGGCAGTGGGAAAACCCTTTCTATGGAAAACATTCAGTCCTTAAACGCTGCCTATGCTACGTCTGGCCCTATGTATCTCAGTGACCATGAGAACGTCGGTGCAGACACCCCAAAAAGCACCATGACTTTGGGCCGGTCTGGGGGGCGGCTGCCTTATGGTGTTAGGATGACTGCAATGGGTAGCAGCCCTAACATTGCCAGTAGTGGAGTTGCCAGTGATACTATCGCGTTTGGAGAGCACCATCTTCCTCCAGTGAGTATGGCGTCCACTGTGCCTCACTCGCTTCGCCAGGCCAGGGATAACACCATCATGGATCTGCAGACGCAACTCAAAGAAGTATTAAGGGAAAACGATCTGCTTCGCAAGGATGTGGAGGTGAAAGAAAGCAAGCTGAGTTCTTCCATGAACAGCATCAAGACCTTCTGGAGTCCTGAGCTAAAAAAAGAAAGAGCTCTGAGGAAAGATGAAGCTTCAAAAATCACCATTTGGAAGGAACAGTATAGAGTTTTGCAAGAAGAAAACCAGGTTTGTTATCTGATGTTGTTGTTGTGTTAGTGCAGTAGTGTGATTAAATGAGTTAGCTTGTGTATCGCACTTAGTTAAATTATTTTAGTGCTTTTCCCAGGTATCACAGAATCACAGAATGGCCTGGGTTGGAAGGGCCCTCAAGGACTGTGAATCTCCAACCTGTGCTGCTGCAGGCAGGCAGCAACCTCCCCATTTAGTACTAGACCAGGCTGCCCAGGGCCCCATCCAACCTGGCCTTGAACACCTCCAGGGACGGGGCATCCAACCTCTCTGGGTAGCCTGTTCCAGCACCTCACCACTCTCACAGTGGTGAGACGTCCAATCCAAGTCCAACCTGTCATCCAACCTAAATCTTCCCTCCCTCAACTTAAAACCATTTCCCCTTGTCCTGCTGTTATCAACACTTTCAAAGAGTTGATCCACCTCTTGTTTATAGGCTCCCCTTAGGTAATTGGTATGAATAAGAAGTTTTCATCTTTTTAAGTGTTTCTTTTCAGACTTGTAAGCCTCCTCTTCGGTGTGTGTTTTTCCTTATGATTTTTTTAAAAAAATTCCTTTTTTTTCCGTTTATTTTCTGGGACTGTTGTTCACCAATCAGTTCCAATTTGCAACTCTTTTATGCCACTCATGATCATTATTTGTATAGTGCTTAATTCCAGAAGTGTTCTCTTGAGATGCAGAATGTACTAACTGCTGACCCCAAATGCAACTGAACTGCTGCTGGATGTTGATAGTTTGCCAGTAAAACAAAGTTCATGTGGCACTGATCTTAGTTTAGAGCTCTAGTTAAATCCTCCAGACCTACAACTTTTGCAAACATGTAAACCGTGTTCTTGGCTACATGGAAGTACTTCTGTCTAATACCTTCTCATACTTTCTTTTGTCATAAGCAGTGCTTGTGTTCTTATACAACTATCATAAAGCACTCATTTATAGGTTTAAGGGTTTTATTGAGCTGTTCAGGTATATTTACTAGTTTAAGCAGGGCTTTTTTTGGTTTCTGTTGGGAAGATTGTTGGGAAGGAAGCTGGAGGAAATAAATAGTACTACCAGTACTTAACACATTATGTACTATTTTCAGGTAACATGACTTAAGTAGTAGATTCCTTTAGGTTAGTGATACTCTGCTACACTGAAGCAGTCTTGAGGCTTTCTTTTCACCCTTTTAAGAACTTAGTAAGGTAAGTTCTTAAAAAGTAGTAATGAGGTAAGTTGCTTTTTTTGAACTAGCATGAAATAATTTAACCAATTTATTCAGTTTTATAGCTGTATTCTTACTGAATGGTAGTGTTGCAAGGTGCTATTTGACAATGCACAAAATTTTATATTCATTTTCATGTCTTTTTAGAGTAAAAAAGCTTAAAGTGAAATCATTTTATTGTAAGAGCAGTATTTCCTTAGAAGGAGTAATCTAGTGAAAAATTCAGCTATGCTGGTTGTTGTGGTTTAATCTGGCAATCCGATAAATACCATTCAGCTGTTTGCTGACTTTCCTCTCAATGGGCTGAGGAAGAATTGAAAAAGGTGAAGGTTGAGATATGTGAGTTCATACAGAGATACTTTTCAATAAAAAACAAAGAAAAGAAAAAAGAAGAAGAAAAGGAACAAACAACAACAAAAAACCAAAAGATGCACAACACGATTGCTCACCACTCAGTTTGATGCCCAGCCAGGGGCTGAGCAGTGGTTGCCCCCCTCCATGCAGCTCCTTCCCATTTTATTTTTCAGCATGACACCACGTGGTACGAGATATCCTTCTGACCAGTTTAGGTCTGCTGACCTGATTCTGTGCCTTTTCAGCTTCTTGTGGATCCCCAGCCTTCTTGCTGGCAGAGCAGCCCAAGGAGCTCATAAGTCATCGACTTAGTGTAAACACTGCTCAGTTACAAGTAAAACATGAGTGTAACATTACTTTTTTTCATCCAAAATCCAAAACACAGCATCGTACCAGCTACTATGAGGAAAATTAACTCTATCCCAGTCCAAACCACGACACTGGTACAGTGCTAGTATAATGAAAACACAGAATGCCATTCACTCAGCTTTTTGGTGCTGTTTATTTTTCAGCAGAAGGTGAGTATTTAAATTGCCCAGTTCTCTCCTTGTGCTTTTAAAGTTCTGTTTTCAGACTGAAGAGAAAGGGAATGTTTTTAAATGTGACAATATTTTTGTGAATTTTGACATCTGAGGATGCTGTGCAGATCTGGAAGCAGAAATACAATGACTGTGTGGTTTAGAATGGAGTAAGTGGCTACTGAATATGTATAGATTTGAGAACAGTGATTTCTCTATCTGAGAGTTTTTTTGTGCGTGTCTTTCCTTTATCCCCTAATTAAACATTTACAGATACTTCCAGGCGGCTGTTTTCTAGGCAATCACTATAATTACTACCACAGTGGTAGAATTGTATAACTTCGGTCCTAAAAAAGAAGGGTGCAATTTAAAAGTAAAAGGGTATTATTGCAATAAGCGGTAAAAACTAAGAGTGCTAATTAATAGATTATAGTTAGCTAACAGTGTGTCCTAATTAAACTCTGAATTCATTATGTCTTCTATAGCCTGTTGGAATTGGTCACTTCAGCCATTATAATGAAAATCAGTTTAATAGGATTTACAGTAATTAAACAGACTTTTCTGTTTAGACACTGAACATGGGACTTCTCTGATTTGTTGGTGGACCTGAAATATCTTCATTACCCTCCTCCTACCTTCTTCTAAAACAAGGTTAATATATTCCTACTGTATGGTCTTTCAGCGTACCTGCAGGAACTGGTATTTCAGCTCTCAATACCAGTATTTCAGCACATCACTTCAATAAAAGCCTTCTGGCATGGGCAGGACTTGTGCTGTAGATTAAGTTTAGCTAGGGCCAAATGCATTGTTTAAAATTGGCTAGATTCATGGAGCCAAGGTGCGGGCTGACTCATCCCATTATCTGATAGTCATCTCAATCTCTTTGGCTGTGATCTTGGCTATTTATTCCTCCTTGCATGCTTGATTGTCCCTGATTGGATTTATTTATTTGCTTGTTTGTTTTACTATTCTTGTCACTTCAGCTTTGACTGAATTGTCTCTAAGTTCTGGAAGTTGTTAAAAATGTGTAAAAACATGAGCTATGGTCGATCACTACCTCAGTATCCTGTGCAATGTGCTTTGGTGTCCCTGAGTTTTCTTACATACGTCTTGGGAATGTCTGCAAATAGATGTTAATTATTGGAGTGTACCTTGCTGATTTCCTAGGAATTTTCTAGGTTGAATAAAGGCTGAATAGTCTCCTTTTGGAGAAAAGATAAAATAAATAGGAAGATTAAAGAGTACTCTATATGTCCTGGTGCAGTTATGTTTATTTTGGCACAAATAGTCAGCAGGACTATCTGGGATTTAGTATGTGCATGCATCTATCTAGGAATAAATAGTTCTCACATGGGTTGGAAAGGCTTAGCTTTGCACAGTGGTGATGGTTTCAGCTGTGATGCAGTACAGCTGTATTCATCAGCTACTCTGAGCAAATTTTAACAGCTGTGGAGTATAACGTAAGCTGAATTTTTTTTCATCCTTTAGTAGTTTGTTGCTGAAGTGCTAGAAAATCCTGTCATTCGGTACATGGGGAATGTCCTCCTCATCCCATTCTGAAGAGCTCAGAACATGAAGTGGAAAGTATTCCCCTAGTTAACATAGGGTTGTGGAAAAACAGAGTAGTTTGCAGTGTGGTGTGGATTAGTTATCCAATTACACTTAGCAAGAAGATGGAAGCAGAGTAGAGATGATTTCTCAAAGATTAGCAAGCGTGTGCAAGGAGGAACTGATGGAGTCAATAAATGGGAGTTTGGTTTTGGCACAGACTTGTTCTCCTTAGCACGCTTCAGTAAGAATTACATTTCTCTGACTGGAACAGATTTTCTTTTTTTGGTGTGAATGGGGTTTAAAGTTTACCTGAAAATGTCTTCGTTAGAAGCCTGAAGAATGAAGGAAAGATGGTGAGTATTTTTGGCTGATAGTTTCATTAAAAACTGGACCACGATGGACTGCATGGAGCTAGAGAGAAAAAAGGAACTCCTCTCAGTTGAAACTTTACACATGCCAAGGTGGTTGTCCATAAAAATAATGAGTGCAATGCAAATTGGATGTCTGCCACCCTGTACTGAAATTTACCACACTGTCTGATCTGGGTTTCAAATCTGAATTATGTTTTGGCTGAACTAGTGCGGTACTGCTGAAAACATCTTTCTACTTTGATGTATTTTTGTGGCCTTTTTGTGGTTAGAGGTTTTGAATGTCTGAGTGAGGGAGTTTAACCAAGAAAATATTTCTGAAAAGTATTTCACCTTACGTGGGGTGAGTGCTTGAAGAACGTTCTGCCTTATTGGGATGGAAGAGTGTGGCTGGTGTCCTCCAGCGGTTCGTCAGCGCTCTTCTCCAGACCTCTGTGATTATGACTTCACTGTCAGAAGTGGTTTCCATTTCACAGTAGCATGGAAGGGATGTTTCACTTATTTTAATGTAGTTGTCTGTGTGTTAGCCTCTTAAATGTGTTGGGTGATGCTGCTGTGAGACTGGCAGAACTAAAGAGCACAGTCTTCACCTGAATATTATATTAATTCTTCCATCTCCACTCATTTTATTTTTTTGCTTTAATTATATATATATATTTTTAAGTGGATTGTTCTAATACTTTATTCTAATGGTAGTTACCATTCTTGAGTTGGCTATTAGCTAGACTTTCTCCCCTTTAGTGCATCTTTATTTGCGTCATATGCAATTCCATCGTCATTGCTAAAATTCATTGTGTATAACCTATGATGTTACACTTAAACACTTTTTTTCTGTGGCAGATCTGTTAACTCTATAGAATTCTGTAAGGCTCGCTCTGTCCTTATTTGGTTGAAACATGACATAATAACTTCTTTTTTAGAGTAACTCGGCTATCTCCTGAGGAGTGCTTAGTATCTGAGGCATGTATCAAGCTGCAGCTCTTCAGAAATTGACACGCAGTCTCC